ATATACCCAAAGTATGTGAAAATAGCAGATCAAAAAAGCATATGCGCTACAATATTTCACAGCTGCCTGTTTACAACAGTTAGGATGTGGAAGTAACCTAAATGCCCACTGAGAAAGGACCAGATCAAGAAAATGTGGTCCATCCACACTATGGAATATCATTTGCTATAAGGAAAGAAAATGCTGACATTTTCAGTAAAATATTGTTTTAGAGAATTCGGTGTAGCAAAGCAAATCAGAGTGACAAAGACAAACATTGGACATTTACACAGGCCATCTGAAAAAATAAAATAGTTATAAGAATTCAGTAGACATTAAAGAACATAATAAGGCTTCTAAAAATATAGAGAAGAAAAAATAGGCAAAACACTACATGACATATACACCTTCAGAGACACATCACTCAAAGCAGAGATAGTGAAGGAAAACATAAACAAATAGGTCTATATCAAATAAAGAGCTTCTGTATAGCAAAAGAGACATCGACCAAAACAAAGGGACTACCTACTGATTGGGAAAAAATTTTGCACATAATGGTAATGATAAGGAACTAATCGCAACGATCTACAAAAAGTGTTGATACACAACAAAAATAAAGTAAACAACTCGGTCAAAAATTGGGCAGAAGAACTACAAAGACAATTCTCTAAAGAGGAAATACAAATAGCCAGCAGGCATATGAAAAAATGTTCAACATCACTTGTAATTAAGGAAATGCAAATCAAAAGTACTATGAGATATCACCTTGCACTAGTGAGAATGGCACATACTAAAAAAACTAGCAACAATAAATGTTGGTGAGGATATGGAGAAAAAGGAACTCTCCTACACTGCTTGTGGGAATGCAAACTGAGCCAACCACTATAGAGAGCTGTTTGGAGGTTTCTCAAATTGCTAAAAATGGATCTTCCATATGAACCCAGCAATCCCACTCCTAGGAATCTACCCAAAGGACTCAACAAAACATTAATTCAAAAGGACAGCTGTACCCCTATGTTTATTGCAGCACTATTTATAATATGTAAGCTAAGGAAACAACCCAAATGCCTCCAAATAGATGAATAGATCAAGAAGATATGGTACATTTACATAATGAAACATTTACTCAACAATCACAAGAGATAAACTCATGTCATTCACAGAAACATGGATGGAGCTGGAAGAGATTATGCTCAGTGAAATAAACCAGAAAGAAAATGAAAAAAAAAAAAAAA